GATTGTCTCAAAGTGGATAAGAGCATGATAAAATAAGTTAAAGATTTTAATTTTGAATCCTTAAAACAGTTATGATGAGAAGTGAAGAGAGTTGTGTTAGGTTCTCTTTGTATTTTGATGATGTTTTAAAACCATGATTCAAAAGTATTTAATCTATTTTTGTGTTAAGTGTGCAGGAAAATTAATCCAAGGTTTCTAATCTTTCCCCACGATTAGAATTAATTCATGTTCCTCCTTGTTCAGAGTTCTGGGTTTGAACCAATTTATTTTGGTTCGAATCAATCACGAACTTTTGTTTTCCGAAAATGGTTCGAAGCAATATTTCTGGCTTCGAACCAAAAATTCTGGAAAGTTAATTTTGACAGCTCAACTATCTGTTTACTCTTAATGGGTCATAGGGGATCTAAATGCCTTAGCACTTTCCAAGACAAGTTAGAAGAAAAAGGTGGAACCTTATTGGAGCTTTTGTGAGGTGGCTTTGAAGGGACTTTAATTGCAAGGCTCCAAATCTCTATTAAAATGACCAAAAATCAGATCTGGAAAAAGACAGAAAAAAGAAGGACGACTGCTGCAGAAAATATAGTTTGATATTGTTCTGGGTTTCCTTCTTCTTTTCTTCTTGTGAGGCTTTTGGGTATATTGTCTTACAAGGGTTTTGTATTCTTCTTGGATTGGGTTAATCCTTGAAGGGGTTGAGTGAGTTGAGATTCACTTGTAACGGTTTAATCTTGCACCCGTAAGCAAGAGTTTGTTCCGGTTTAATCTTGCACCCGTAAGCAAGAGATTTCTAGTGGATTGGACTCTCGAGCAAGGAGGCTTGGGGAGTGGACGTACTCCGGGTTGGAGGAACCACTATAAATCGCGGCTTGATTTTCTCTTCCCTCTCTTTTATTTTTCTGCACTATATTACTCTTGTTTATTCTACATAATAACTTATAAATTGCTAGCTGGGATTACAAGTTGTCCTTTACCGGAAAATCCATTCATCTAATGTATGAAAAATGAAAAAACAAAAAAGAAAAGAAGAAGAAAACATTAATGCTTCTCCAATAAGGGACTCAGAAAAACTAACGCTTCCAGGACTGAATAGATAATAGATTCAAGTA